CCTACTGCATCATTGCCTCGAGTCTAGCAAACCCATCTTCCTGTCTTCCACCATGCTGGTGCTGAGGAGGATGATAACCCTGCTGCAGATTTTGATTATTATATCCCTGTGTCCTTGGGTAAGGCGCCATATTATTTTGAGGTCTCATACCTCCCATGTTTCCATTGTTGAGCTGTGGCGGGACTAGGCTGTATGGCTGATGTTGTTGGCCCCAATTTTGACCACCCTGTCTCTGGCCTCCATAATTAGACACATAATTCATGTCCTCAGGGTAGTGATGATGATCACTTTCTGCATTCCACTGGTTACCAATTGCTGACTAATGCAGGATGTGCATAAGCCCCCATTGGTAGTATCTATAATGTGTACCTGCTGCTTCTGCCCTGACTCTTCCACCTTTTTGGTTAGTATACTCATCTGTGTCATTAATGTGGCCATGTTTTCAGCAAGAGTGTTGGATGGATCTAAGGGCACTGAGTGAACTACTGGAGTGAAAGGTGCATACCTGATTGTCCAACCCGAATTCTGTGCCATCTTTTCAAGCAGACTCTGGCTTTCTCTCCATGTTTTGCTCAAAAATGCTCCACCAGCTGAAGCATCAACATTACCCTTCACGCCATCTGCCAAACCCATGTAAAATCGCTGCCCCAACATCTGATCTGGAATACCGTGGTACAGACATATAACCAACATCCCTTTGAATCGCTCGCATGTTTCTTGCAGTGTCTCCATTGGTTTCTGTTTGAAACTTAAAATTTCATCAATTTGTTGAGCAGTCTTGTTGGGTGGATGAAACTTGCTCACAAATTGCTTGACTAGTTCCTCCCAAGTCGTTATGGAATTAATGGGGAGTGAGTTTAGCCAAGTCTGGGCAGCTCCTGTCACTTAGAATGGAAACAACAACAGCTTTATTGCTTCCTGATTTACGTTGGGCTGCCTTTGAGTTTTGCATATTGACAAGACATTCTTCAAGTGCTGTTGAGGATCTTCGATTTGTGACCCCGAAAATAGTCCCTTGTTTTGCAACAAGTGCATCATGTTGTTCGTGATTTGAAACGATTCAGCCTGTATCTGCGGGACTAAAATCGTTGTGGCCAAATTTTCTGTTGTGGGTTGTGCCCAGTCATACAGAGCATACTCTGGCACAAGAGGTGCCACTGGCGCTAATGGCGCAGCTGGATCTACCACGTTGTCCCCCATGTCCGGTTTGAATTGTTCAGTTATTTGTTTTTGTTTGTTTTTTCGGTTGGCCCGGTTCAAGGCCTTGAAAACTTTCTCGGGATCTGATAATGCTTCAAATACTTCACCAGTTCTCGATGAGTTTCTAGGCATGCACCTGTACAACAAAGACAACAAACGTTAAAATTTCAATGTAAAGATTGGAAGTAAAGAAAACTTACTACACTAAGAATTTTTGTATTTCTTTCAATTGTAATTGATAACACCGTTAAGTCCCCGGCAACGGCGCCAAAATTTGATCTCTCCCAACTATGCCTTATAAAAAGGACTAAGCGGACGTTGCAAATATAATCTGAGTATTTAGCCCAGAGTCGAACCCACAAGGAATTAACCTATCAATTACTCTTGTTAGACTCACTAAATTCTACGTTATCACCTTCCAAAACGTTTTGAATAACAGTTGAAGATATTTTTACTAACTATAACTGACTGCAATTAAGTAAATAAAGACTAACTATGATTAAGTAATAAACAATTAAGAGAAGGAGCTAAGGTTATGATTTCCCCTATTGATGGAATCCTTCATGTTATGTTTCATATAGATTTGCCTAGCCGTCTCTATCAATCATGAGCACTCTGACTACCGTAAATCTCTCCCGAGTAATCACGACAATTTACTAGACGCACTCTCCCGAGTTACGCTAGCTGGCTTTTATTACAGCTCACGTTAGATTGCACCCAAGGCTTCGTTATCCCTATCCCGCCTTTAAACCCTCAATTATTGATCCCTCATATACTTTGGGAGTGGTGTTATTCAACAATTACCTAAATATGCACTCTCTCCCGAGTAATACATACTAGATAGGCACATTTAATTAAGGATCCTATCAATTAACTACAACAAGAACGTAGTTGAACAAATAAAAAAATAAATCGGCCAAACTATATTAACATAACACGAAGTTCATCCTTCAATATGCTCCATCAAAACCGTAGACAAAGTATTTAGCTACTCATAACAAAGCAAGATGAAATCACTAAAAGTATTCATAATGTGCAAAATAAGATAACAAAGAGAAGATTGAAAAACTCTAATGGTTGATTGCTCTTCTCACACTTGTTCTTGCCTCCAATTTAGTCTAAAAACAAGCTTAACCTTTTCTTGGGCGAGTTTGTTGAGTTTATAAAAGGTTAGGATAAATTTCTCCCGATTTACACTTTAGTCCCAAAATTTCTGGGCAGTTACACAGCCCACCGCGGTCGTAGCAGAACGCGGCGCGACCGCGGTGAAACACAACGATTCTGCCTCACTTTCTTGGCCTACCGCGATCCAGCCGCGGTCGACCGCGGTCGTGGTGGCTTCTTGCCCAGTCCTCCTTTGCCTCTTTCTTGCTTATCTTCGTTTGGGTTCTTCTTTATTGGCCTTATATCCACAGTATTGACTCCAAAACACTGCATAGTCTCTTCCTAACTTGGATTAGTCCCTGCAAAGCAAAAGAACACCAATTAGAGTATTTTGTTATCATTTAGCCTTTAAAACAACAATAAATTATGGTACAATTGGAGTGTAAATAGCGTCTATATAGCCTATTATCACTCCATAGATATCCTAGTGATTTCAAGAACAAGAAAATAAGAGGATGTTTCTATGCTCAAGAAAAACAATGTGAACAACATTGTGAATCATAATGAGAACAACTATGGGAATCTACCCTCAGAAACACAAGGCAACCAGCTGAACTCTGCTACCCTGGCTCAGTTCTTTACTCCAGAACAATACCAGCAAATTCTGCAGATGTTGAACAAGGGCAAGGATACTGAACCTATTGCTAACTCAGCTACTGCAGGGACAGCAGGTATACTACATGCTTTCATGTGTACTTTGGTGGGTCATAATTGGATAGTAGACACAAGAGTATCTAATCATATGGTACATAGTTTAAATCTATTGGATTCCTATGAGGAAGTATCATAGAAGGATAAAAGTAAAGTACATTTGCCTACGAGTGAACAAACTTCTATTACACATACTGGGATCTGTTCTTTCTTCAAAAATAAGAAAATGTAGAATATACTTCATATTCCGGACTTCAAGTATAACTTACTCACAGTGTCTAAAATCACAAAAGAGTAATGGTGTTTGGTGGCATTCTTTCCTGATTTTTGTGTCTTTTAAGAACTCTTCAGGGGGAAGGTATTGGAGATTAGTGGATAAGAACTTGGACTCTACATCCTCAACGCTGCAGACAGACAAATCCCTAAACATCATATACCTCCAATATTGAATACCATTGTTCATACAAATAAGGATGTTAGCCTGAATAATACAAGTCCTTGTAATGATTTCTCTTTGTGGCATAGGAGGCTAGGACATGCTCCTCTGAAGGTACTGCAGAAACTACATAATCTTCATGAGTTACATCTAACTGATCATCAGCATTGTACTGTATGTTCTATTGCAAAGCAATCAAGACTGTCCTTTCCTCTTAGAACCACTTATTTTACTTCTATTTTTGATCTTGTGCAAGCAGATGTTTGGGATCCACATAGACTACAAACTCATGACAGCAAGAGATAATTTTTAACCTTGGTGGATGATTTTTCTAAATATATCTGGATTTTTCTTCTAACTACTTAGGCAGATACTATTATAATATTGAAGAACTTTTTTACAATTGTGTCAAATCGGATTAGGACTGTAGTTAAGTGCCTCAGAACTGACAATGGCGGTGAATTTGTGAATGATCAAGTCCATTCTCTGTTGCAAAGTCTGGGAATCCTTCATCAAAGTTCTTGTGTTTATACACCCAACAAAATAAGGTGGTAGATAGAAGGCATAGGACTATCTTAGATACGGCTAGAGCACTAAGATTTCAAGCATTTATACCTCTGAGATTTTGGGGTGAGTGTATGTCTAGAGCAATGTACTTACTGAATAGATTGCCTACTGGACTTCTTCAAGGCAAGTCTCCATTTGAATCCCTATTTCAGAAGATGCCTTCTATACAACATCTCATAGTGTTTGGTAGCTTATTCTATACCACAAGAGTGCAGGAAGGGGATAAGTTCAGTCTCAGGGCAATCCCAGCAGTCCACATGGGATACTCATCTCTCAAAAAGGCTACATTCTCTATGATCTACACTCCAAGGGCTTTTTTGTCAGTAGAGATGATGTCTTCAAGGAAGATATTTTCCCCTTTAAGCATATGCAGTCTGGAGTTCTCCTTTATTCCTTATACTAGAGTTCACATATGCACAAATTGAAAAGAGTACTGACCACCCTGCAGCAGTCTCAATTTTTTCTACTCCTGGTATTCAGTCTTTGGCTTCTTTTCCTAGTCCTACACATGATGCTCATTCTGCACTAGGCCCCTCTATTTCTCCTTCTGCACCCTCAGCCTTTCCTGAAGGGCTCAGAAGATCCTTAAGGCCTTTTAAACCTCCTATATGGAAAACTGACTATGTAGTCTAGCCCAAGAAAACCACTTGTCACTATCCAGTATCACATCATGTCTCTTATAATCAACTGTTTTCAGACTACATGGCTTCTCTTGCTGCATATTCAGCTATTGTTGAACCTAGAACCTTCAAAGAAGTGGATTCAAGCTATACAAGCTGAGATTTCAACCTTGCAAGATAATAATGCCTGGTCCTTGGTTGATCTGCCTTAAGGAAAAGTTCCTATAAGGTGCAAGTGGGTCTTCAAGTTTAAGTATAAGTCTAATGGTGAGGTGGAAAGATACAAGGCTAGACTAGTAGCCAAAGGCTACAGTCAACAAGAAGGCCTGGATTATACAGAAATATTCTCTCATGTGGCAAAGATGGTCATAGTGAGGGCTGTAGTTGCTCTAGTTGTTGCCTCTAGCTGGTACATTTTTCAGATGGATGTCCATAACAAATTCCTTTAGGGTGACCTTCTAGAAGAGGTCTGCAGCCAAGTTCCCGATGGCATTTCATGCCAGGGGGAGAATCAGAAGGTGTGTAAGCTACATAAGTCTTTGTATGGATTGAAACAAGCACCTAGGTAGTAGAATCTTAAACTAACAGAGGCACTTCTAGACATGGACTTTGCTCAAAGTCACTGTGACTATTCCTTGTTCACCAAAAGGATAGGTGTTGATCTTGAGATCATCTTAGTTTATGTGGATGATTTGTTGGTGACTGGCAGCAATTTACTTCTCATCCAGCAGGTTAGAAAAATATTTGCAGGAGAAGTTCAAAATGAAGGATCTAGGGGAGCTGAAGTTTTTCCTTGGTATTGAATTCTCAAGGTCTAAGGAAGGTATTCTAATGTGCCAAAGGAAATATGCCCTAAAAGTGGTGTCTGAACTTGGCTTAGCCGGAGGAAAACAAGCTCCTACACCTCTTGAGTTTAGTCAGAAACTCACTTATGTTGAATTTGATGAAGTAGTAAAAGATAGTGACTCTGAAGTGTGCAACTTGAAGAGAAGGAAAATTATCAAAGGTTAGTTGGGAGGCTCCTGTATCTAACAATGACAAGGCCAAATATACCATTTGTAGTTCAGCTACTCAGCCAGTACATGCATGCACCTAAAGCTTCTCACATGGAGGCTGCTAGAAGAATAGTGAAATACATCAAGTCTACACCTGGGCTTGATCTGTTTATGCCAAGTGGAAGTTGCAATCGACTAATAGCCTATTGTGATTTTGATTGGGGAGCATGCGTGGAGCTTAGGAGGTCAGTCACTGGATATGTAGTTAAATTTGGAGAAGCACTGATCTCCTAGAAGTCAAAGAAACAAGGGACGGTATCTAGGAGTTCAGCTGAAGCAGAGTTCAGAAGCATGGCAACCACAGTAGCTGAAATTATGTGGCTGGTTGGACTGTTCAAGGAGTTAGGAGTGGATATTGTCCTGCATGTGCCTCTACACTGTGACAGTAAAGCATCAATCCAAATTGCTGCATATCCAATATTTCATGAATGGACTAAGCACATAGATATTGACTATCACTTTGTAAGAGAAAAGCTAGTGCAAGGTCTAATTCAAACTCAGCATGTTGGAACAATAGAACAAATAGCAGATGTGCTGACAAAGGCTCTGTGCAAACCACAACATGACTACTTACTAAGCAAGCTGAGAATGAAGAATGTGTTTCATTCCTTAGCTTGGGGAGGGGGTGTTGAGAGCTATGGGCCCTGCCTATTTAACTAGATTATAGTTAGAAGAGTAGTTAGTATTACACTATCTATAGTTAGTTGTTGAGTTAGTTATAACAGACACATGTATAAATAGTAGTTTAGATATTGAGATCAATACAACAGTGATGAATTATACTTTGTGCATCACTATGAAGTAACTGCTTCCTTCTTTTTTCTCTCATTTCCTTCTTTTCACCGCCATATTTGAAGCTTCGTGACACAAATAATCATATCTCATGCGTGCAAAAATGATAAACTGAGAACGAACCACTCCACAATCGTACTACATGATTAGGAAGAAAATAAAGGTAAATAAAAAGCAAAAAAATTACGAGCAGATTCATTAGATAGATAAAAATAGAAAAACATCCGTAAAGTAAATGATGATTGCTTCTTATTGGGAAAAAGAAGCGCTAATCACGATGGTATTAAGGTAGTATTCAGCAGTTAGGAGTCATATAAGGGGAATATATATAAAAAAATGCAATGAGTTTCGGTAATTAGCTTAAACCGGGTAAAATAGCTTACAATATAGTATACGTAAGAAAAAAATTCCTATCAAAATGGTCTACAATCTAATAAATCTCTGATATGTATATCACATGGTATATTATGTATATCACACATCTAATAATGTATATTAACATATATAACATGATATACATACTGGTATACATGATGTTATACACAGATGCACATCACATCCAACACCATATTTTTTATTATCACACATCATTCGTCGCATCACCACTAAAAAGATACAATAGCCACCAATAACTCCATCACGAACACAAAATATCATAACTAATAAATTAATAAAAAGAGAAGAAGAGGGGAAAAAAAGAAAATAAAATCTGCTTCTTGAAAAAAAAGGAATATCTGGGAGCATGGTCATAGCAGTGGCGCATGGCCGGTGATAGAGAAGCAAGTGGGAGTTGCTTTACTTGTTAAAAATGGCGAATGTCACGATCCAAAATTACTATAGGCCGTGATGGCGCCCAACGACGTCGTTAGGCAAGCCAACGGTGAAACATCTAAGTAACTATTATTTTTATTACTTTTGAAATCATAAGCTCTATTAAATGAAGAATCTAATGCATTTAAAGTCGTGGATACTTGCAATTTTAGTAAGATAAAAAATAAAAGGCAAAACCCTTAACATCTACTAGAATATTTCAAAACCCGGTGTCACAAGTACATGAGCATCTACTAGGAAGTACAGTAATAATACAACATCTGTCTGGAATGTAAAATAGACATGATAACATAAATGAACATGATGGATATTCCGCGTTCTGCGGATCGTATCGTGGGATGCAGCTCATGTTAAAGTCCCCTCAATAGTTGCGTTCTTGCGCCCAAATGAATATCAGAGATGTACCTACACAATAAGTGCAGAAGTGTAGCATGAGTACGTAAATCAACGCGCACCAGTAAGTATCTAGTCTAACCTCAAAAAAGGTAGTGACGAGGGGACGACATTCATATTTACTAGAGGTCCAATAAATCAAATATCGTAAAGTAGACAAGTATGGAACATGGTAAGTAAACAGTGACAACAGATATATGCAAATAATATGGTCTACGACTGAATAATGAACACAAAGTCCTCAAATACCGGATACCTCCTCAAATGGAATACTTAATGGTCATCACCAAATCCACAGTCACATCTCAAATCAGAAAAACTCATGAGTACACTGACTCCTTACCAAGTATTTGACACGATTTTGCTGAAATGAGCCGCCCGATCTATAAGAGTAAAGGCACGAATTTCTACCGTGGTGTACGGCCCAATCCCACAATAATACCACTGAGGCGTTCAGCCCGATCCCATAATCGTGTAAACTGCCGAGGGTCGACCAGCATGAACCATAGATGCTTCTCATAATACTGCCGAGGCAAATGGCCTAATCCCATAATAATACTGCCCTGGCGATCGGCCCGATCTCATAGGAATAGTGAAGACTTGACGGGTCATTGGCCCCACTCACGAATATACGTGTGAGTTATGAAATTCAAGAAAAACCTCCGGGCAAATACATACAACATGAGAGAAATCCATATTAGGAAGTGAAATGTCTACTGTTAATCAATTAGCTCTCCATACATTACGAATCGTAAGTCCGATACTTTATGCAAGTCTAGTCTCAAGAAAAATGTATATTAAAGTAATTAAACAGGCAAGAATAACTCAAATAATATAATTAAAGCATGACGTGAGTCTAAGTCTACCCGAACCTAATCATGAATTCTAGCATACGACCGGTCACTCATCACCGCATACGTATGTAGCCCCCACAACATGTAGCACATAGCAAATATAATACATACGGGGTAAATTCCCCCTCACAAGGTTAGACATGAGACTTACCTTGCTTCGAAGTCCCATAACCGGCACCAACGCCTCTCTAACACCTCAAGCCGATGCCCATCGATCCGAAACTAGTCAAACAACGTGCAAACTAATAAAAATATACTCCAATACTCAGACTAATCAATTTATAACAATTCTCAACTCTGCTCGAAAAGTCAACAAAATCAACCTTGGGCCCACGAGCCCGGATTTCGAAAAGTTTTGAAGATAAACATTAATCATAGCACCACGAACTCAAATATATAATTTATTACTAATTCCATGTCCAATTTTGTGGTCAAAATTCAAAAATACCTTTTCTAGATTTTCTTCCAAAAATTCCATAATTTCTGTCAAATTCCATGTTAAAATCTATATATAATCCATGTATTTTAACTCGAAACAAGTAGGATTAACTTACCTTATGATATATGACGAAAATGGTATTCAAGAATGACCTCAAATCTCCCCCATGTGCTCCAAGAACTTAAAAGTGAAGAAATGAACTCAAAATCCCGAAATTAGATGTTTAATACACTTGCCAGGCCTCCTACCGCGATCGTGATTCACAAGGCTTGGAATACAATTTGGTCTTCCCAATCAGGGCCCAGACCTCCGTGATCGCGATTCACACCCCTGGCATCATATATCAGTAGTTCAAAAGGGCCCAAAAGCGGTCCGAAACCACCCCAAAACTCATCCTAGGTCCGAGGAACCCCGTCCAATCATTCTAACAAGTTTATATACCCTATGTAAACTTGTTCAAAGGCTCGAAACATGAATTACAACATCAAAACATAGAATTAAAGATGAAACTCAATTTCTTAAACTCTCTTAACTTCCAAGCCTTCATGCTTCATCAAACGCATCCGAATCCTACTTAGACATTCTAGAATGATGCCAAATTTTACGTACAAGTCACAGATCACAATAAGAACCTATTCAGGCTCGAAATCTCAAAAGGACATCGATAACAAAAAAGTCCACTTCAAATCAAACTTAGAAAATTCTAAAACCTTCAAAATGCCAACTCTCCACATTACGCGCCGAAACGCTCCCAGACCATCCGATACTCAACCCGAACGTACGCCCAAGCCCAGAATCATCATTCAAAGCTATTAGAACTTTTAAATTCCGATTCCAATGTTGTTTACTCAAACGTCAAAACTTGGTCAACTCTTCCAACTTAAAGCTTCCGAATTGAGAATTATCCTTCCAAATCAACTCCGAACTTCCCGAAATTCGAAACCCACTACACGTACAAGTCATAATATACATGAAATGAAGCTACTCAAGGCCTCAAACCGCCGAACGAGATGCTAGAGCTCAACACGACAGGTCGGATCGCTACAACGAAGGTAGCCATGGAAAATTGGTGGAGATTTGTCATGTATGATGACAAGAAAATCGTTTGGAGAAAAAAAAATTAAGGATGGTGATGGTTCTTGGGTTATTTTTCCTTATTCGTGTTGAAATCATATGAAAGATGAAAAAAGACATATCAGAAAGAGATGGCAACGAGAGGTGGAAAAGGAGTACAGGGAGATAGAATAAATAGGGAATTAGATTATTTTCATTTTGAGCTTTGGCTATACAATGCTAATTTTTTTGGGGAATGCCTTTGTCAAACATGATCTAAGGTAAAAGATTTGCCAATTTTTACTATATGTTGTCACCCAATGTCAATTTCCCAATCAAATTAAGGTGTTTAATTTGGTCATACGTGTGTACTATTATTTGATATTAAATTCAACTTAGTGTTTGATTAGATTATTTCAACTTCAACTTGAATAGAGAATTTGAAGTTGAAAACCTATCTTTTAAAGAATATTCCAAATGATATTAATCAGCATGATCTAAGGTCTTTCAAAATGAAGAGCACGTCGTGATCTTTTCTCATTCCGTCACCGGAAGTTCGCCTGCTAACCTTCTATTAAAAAATATGGATTTGGCTCACCTCCAGTTTAGTAATCCTCCAGTTCCACCAGTGCAAATCTAGTTTAATGACATCTGTCCATTTTTAGAATTAGGGTCATGATTTATTAGACTAAACAATCCCTTAACCCTTGTTAAACTAAAAAATCGTTTGGTGAGTTAGTAACAAGTTGGAAAGAGAAAACACCTATCCGAAAATTTCGTTAGGAATTTCATTATGGTTGGGAAGAATGAAATTTATTCTTGACCCTTGTTTTAACTTTATTTATTCTTCACATTAACTTCAACAAAAAAAA